CAGTGCAAGTGTGGGGTGTGCTTCCCAGAGCAGCTTTAAACTCAGGAGCCCACCTCAAAATACACCTTTGGATCTGCCCTGCAGGCAGTGCCTGGATCTTGTATTTGTGGGGTTTTTAGACAAATGAAGGAATGATGAATTTGACTCCATGTTTTCAGAAGGTTAATTTATTGTTTTATGATCTATAGTACATTAAAGAATACTATACTGTACACTAAACTGTACTAAAGAATAGAGAAAAAAATTTACAGATTATTTACAGAAAGCTAGAAAGATATTAATGAAATTCATGATTCTTTCTTCAGAGTCTGACACAGCTTGGCCCCAGTTGGCCAATAAGTCAAAATAATTCACAGCAAAAATCAATGAAACAATTACCTGTTGGATAAACAATCTCCAACCACATTCCAAAGTAGCAAAACACAGGAGAAGCAAATAAGATAATATAATTTTCCTTTTTCTCTAAAGTTTCTCAGCTTCCCAGGAGAAGAATCCTGGCAAAGGGATTTTTTCAGAAAATACAACAGTGTCACCTGGAGGTGTCACATCCCCAGGGACTGTGCTCAGCTCCTCCTGCCATCACGTGCTGTGGCAGTGTGGGTGTCCCTGTGGCAGCCAATGGGTCAGCTCTAGTGGAAATGGAGGCCAAATTCCTGGGGTCAAATGCCAGAATTTGTGCCTTCACTGGCAGACACAAAGGGCTCTGTTTCTTTTATTCTTCAAGGAATAAAAGGCTGGTCGTGGTGGTGGCATTTGTGTGCTGATCTCTGTGAGGCTGCCAAGAGCCCTGTGCCCCTCCTTGTTTCCCAAATGTTTGTGTGATGCCGTGTCCCTCCTGACAGAGGGGTGCAGCTGTCTCCACCTCTTCAGAGCTGACAAAACCAGCTCCCAGCAGGGCTGGCAGAGATCAAGGGCTCAGGAACTCCCACCTTGCTGCTCTCCCAAACCCGTGCAGTGTGCAGGGGCAGCTTGCAGGAACGGCTCATGCTTCATGTGTAGGAAGTCCTGCAGGATGGCAGAGAGCTGAGAAGGTGCAGCTAAAGCACATTTTAGGTGTAAATCTGATACAAAATAGTCAAATACATGAAGTGTCTCTGAGATGAGCTCTGCTGATGAGAGCTTGTTCCTCTTCCCCAGTGTTTGGGGAGAGAAGTGGTGCACATTTCCTCCTGACTTGTCCCTTTTTTCTTGCTGCCCCTCAGCCAGCCCACCCTGCTGATGTGGTGGGGAGACCTGGGTGATGGCAGGCTTTGAAAAGGACATTTTCATCTGCCTGGAGCCACGGGTGCCTCCCCTGACATGTTTGAACATCTCCACCGAGGCCTGCACCACCCTTTAGTTGTGTCCCCCACCAAAGCAGGACAGAGCCTGTGTCCCTCTGCCAGCGGCTCTGTAACCATCTCTGTTCTGGTTCAATTCTGGCTGCTGGGGCATGGTGCCACGTGGTCAGGAGCGTGGGCTGGCACCAGTCCCTGCTGTCCCTTCTGCTGTCCCTCCTGTGCCACTGCTGCCTCTGGGCTTGGGTTTGACCGTGCTCCTTGTGCTGGGTGGCCTTTGCCCGTGGCTCGTTGTGGTGCCAGCAGCATCTCGTCCATCTGCTGTTCACAGGGTGACTTTGGTGTGTGGTGGCCACGGCTGATCACTTGGTTGGTGTTTTATAATCACACCGTGTGTGTTTTTTGATGAAGTTCTCTTCTGGCTGGCAGGGCCCATCGTGGGGGATGGAGGAGAACTGCAGGGAGGGAGGAAGGGAAAGGCATCTTAAAACACAGATGTGACTCATCCTGTAGAAATTCAGATTAGAGTTTGCTGTTTTCTAGAAAGAGAACTCCAGAACAGCTTGCTTTTTAAAAAAGTTGATCTCCTGAAAATCATGTTCAGGAATAATGGAAGAGGGGGAAATATTTTAAGATTTTCTGTGGATGCTAAATGTAGCCAGAAGAGAACTTCATCCTACTGCACTGGTTTGTTTTGTTTGTAGCTGCAAGTCATCAAAGTGACCTTACTTTGGGTTGTGTGTTTTGTTTTGATTGATGAATTGCCATCTATCCACCTAATTCAGAAGACCAAATTGCATAATATCTTGATTGAAATTTCTAGCTGAATTATTGAAATCCTACAGACCAAAAGAACCTTCCCTTTTACATTTACATTCCCTTTAGAAGCAGATCATGGAGTTGCTGAGTGTGGTTTTTTAGTGCAGTACCAGCTATTGCGAGTGATGTATGCTTGAGTATGCACTGGGCTGGTGGGATGGATTTCTGAGAGCAGGGTCCAGGAGTACACTCTGCCTTCCAAGCTAATGGTGCTTTTTATTCCAAGTAGCACTGCAAAGCTGTAGTTTTTCCTTGCTGAAGGAAAAATGTAGTGCAGGATGTTGCAGATTTGCAGTCTGAGCCCACTGTGGAGCTCCATGTTTGAAAACAAAGCCAACAGTGTGGAATTTCTTGGGATGAGCTGGGGATGTCCACTCACCCTGATGGCACCACGTCCCCCACATGTGCTGTGCCAGCTCAGGAGAGCAGTTGGGTGGCAGAAGGGACGTAGAGGAGCTGCTCAGGCAGGATTGCCAGGAGTCTCTCAAACTGTCCTGGTTCTTTGGTGAGCACAGGTGGAATTCCTGTGGGCAGGAAAAGTGCAGACCCTTCCTCTGATTCTGCCACCGGGTGGTTTTTAGTGGATTGTGCATTTTTTTGTTGCATTTGTGGAGTGATTTTAACTCTGTTGGGCCCTGGAGTACCAGGAAGCCTGGTGGCATGGTGTGACGGGCAGGTAGAAGTGAGGAGCAGCCAGAGCATCCATCCCGGTCTGGGATGCAGGATGTTGGCTGATCTACGAGGGCCGGAGCAGTAAGCATGGACTGAGCCTGCTCATGTCATGCCCAAGGGCCTAGGGGTGCCTCTGCAGAGCCTTTCCCCAGACCCTGGCAGGCCCAGAGAGCAGCATTGCACCTCAGAGTTATTTAAAACAAAATGAAAGAGAAAATCCCCCAGTGACAGGCGTGAGGAACCTCTGGGTGGGACTGAGCCCTGCTCCTCCAAGAGGTGGCTGCCACTGCCTGGTGTGAGTGTGTGACATGAAGTGCCCTTGGGCTGAGCTGGTGCCTAAGCTCCAGCTCTGATTCAGCTGTGCTGGCCTCAGTTTAGATCAGAGCTGAACAAAAAGGGATTCTGTGCATTTCTGCTGCCTCATCTCATTCCTGTTACCCACAGGGTGATGCTGGCTATGGTGTGCTTATGGGCTGAAGGACTGTGAGGTCCCTCTTGCTGTCAGGGGTGTCTCTTGGCCTCAGAAGAAGGTCTTGCACTGAATTAAAAGTTGAGGTGCTGCTCACCACCATCCATCCTCCCTGGGCATATGGAAGGACCCTGATTTCAGAGGCAGTGTTGCTGTGTGGGGAGAGGAGAGCAGTCATTCTCTTGTCATGCAAATTGTCACAAGCAAAAACAAACTGCATATGGGAGTGGGAAAAGGAGAGAAAACGCGGTTCAGATGAGCCCTTGTTTGTGAGAAGCCTTTCTCCTATCTGAAGAGCAGATTAAACCATCCAGTGCTGGTTGTAAAGCAAGTGGGAACAGCCCTGTAGGTGCTGGGGAGGAGGGACCAGCCCCAAGTGGACCCCAGCATGCTGCAGGTGGTGGCTGAGATTTAGGATGCTCAGGTGGAATGAGGGGTAACCATGTACAGCCCTGTGCCTTGTGAAGAGCATGTGGGAGGCTTTTAAAAGTGGTTGTGTTTGAAAATGTGCTGTCACACACATCCACACAAAAATCCCCAAAATATTTGAATCTGCATAATCTCTCTGCAGAGTTTTGCCTTGGGGATTTTTTAATTGGCCAAAATGAGTTGGGTTTGGGGACAGGGTGGCACAAGTTTTTAGGAGATGGCTTTGCCTTATCTGTGGCCTTATGTAGTTCAGCAAGCAGTGGCCGAAGGGACCTTCTCCCCGGGGTGCAGGTGGCTCTGATCTTCCTGTGGTACTGGGCCATTTGCTGGTGATAGCCTGCACCCCCTATTTCTTAAACAAACCCCAGATGTGTCACTCTGCCACACTCTTTAGGCCACATAAATTCCCCATTTTTGCCTTGTTTGAGACCTGACTTGACATGAGCCCTTTGGAAAATACAGCCCTTTCATTTTGATGCTTTTTCCCCCCCCCCTCCCCTTTCCTCCTCATTAGCAGTTTCTAACAAATTAGTAGGCACCCCTGCATTAATCACCTCCAGGATCTCTCCATCTATGGACTTTAATTGACTGTGACATTGTTAAGTTCCTCTCAGCAGCACAGCTCCTCAGGGCAGGGGCAAGCTGCACTTTCGGGCCCTCATGGAAAGGGCAGCGGAGATGCCAGGGGCAGATGTGACAGCTCATGGACACAGGAGTGTCACCGCCCTGCCAGCTACTGGGGGGAGGAAAGCAGCATTAATATCTCGTGTTTTACAACAAACACCCTGTAGCATTCCCTAAACATGCAGTGTTGTGGAAACATGGAGTAAGTGTGTAGTAACTGATAACACCTGGCAGGCTGGAGGGCCTGGGGTCAGTGGTCATTCCTGGTGGGACACGGGGAGGGTGACACGTTGTCCCTGCTGCCAGGAGATGTCCCACAGGGGCTGTGGCTCCTCAGGACCCTCCACCCAAATTTGGATGGAGAATACAGTAGGCAGAAAGACTGGCAGGGTGTGTGGAGGCTGAGGAACTGAGGTGAGCCAGAGGCTGCGTCACGGCCTTCCAGAGAGCTTATTTTGGATTTCAGCAGCCTGGATAGCTGGGGATACAAGCCGTGGGGACCAGGGGCTGTGTATTAGCAGCAGCCCATGCTTCACCTTGCACTACTCCACCCTCAGGTCTAGGAGTGTTTGCTTTTCATCCCCACCCCGGGCAGCACCGCTGGGCAGCACCGTTACCACGGCTGACACACGTGAATTTGGGGGGCAGAGAGGCTGTGCAGGCCACGGCGATCCCAACCCCTCACTAACTCTCTCCCTTCCCCTCCACAGACTCACGCCTCACTATGTTTACCCCCAAGCCATCCTCCAGCCCAGCGTGGTGATCCCCACCCCCGTGCAGTCCATCACGTCTCCCTACATCGACTACACGGCCGCCAGCCAAGCCTATTCCCAGTACACCACAGCTGCCTACGACCAGTACCCCTACGCTGCCTCCCCCGCCGCCGGCTTCGTGGGATACGGCTACACGGGCACGGTGCAGCCGCCCCTCAGCGCCGGCACCCCCGCGGCGCCCGCCGCCGCCTTCGTGCAGTACCAGCCGCAGCAGCTGCAGCCCGACCGCATGCAGTGAGGGCCCGCCGGCCTCCCCGGACAATCGCCGTGCAAGGATACGACCAGGACAGCAAAACCACAAAAAACTATAAAAGAGGCAAAAGCGACGCAAGAGAAAAAAAAAAAAAAAAAAAAAAAAATCACCCCGGCCCTTTTTCCCCCCCCCACCCCGTATGTAGGTGCATATCGATACCTAAGCTATTTATAGTGTTGAGGGCGAACCCAAATCCTTGCAGTCTGATTGTGCTTATGAAAGTGGACTTCTGGTAAGTTGGTTTTTTTTTTTCCTCCTTTTTTTTTTTCCCTTCAATCTGGACAGATACTGTCTTGAAGATGTTCTAAAAGCGGCTGAAATGTTTCACAGGAAAACGACAGATTCTTGCACACATCGCAGTCTGCTTCCATCACCTGTGGTCTTCTTTCTGCCCCCTTCCCCGTCAGCCCTTCCTTCCTCATCCAGCCTACAATCCTCTTATTTACTGGTGAGGTACAGAGGTACTTGGAGAACATGGAAAAAAAGCAATCTTATTTTTTGGTTGTACAAAAACTTTGTAATACTCAGAGATGCCTTACAGAAAAAAAAAAAAAGCAAAAGAAAAACTATTTTTTAATATTTATTGCGATTTTATTCGCATGAGCTGTGAATTGCAGACAGAAGAATAGTAGTAAGTATCTGCCTTGTTTAATTCTCATTTTACTAAATTATTGTATGTAGGTAAAAAGTTCTTAAGTAATTGCTGAATCACTTCAACATGCAAAAGGGAATATTGGCTTGAAGGAGAGCAGAATATTCCTTTAGTCAACGCACTGTACTATTTTCTTATTGTAATTGTTACTCTGTTAAGATTATCTCAAATTTAGGTATATTTTTAAATGCAAAAAACCAACCAAGAATACTGAACATTTTGTCTACTTTGGTAGATCTTTTGTTACAATGCTGCAACCTATGAGACATTTACAGTATTTATGTAAAAGAGATTTGGGGCTGTTGGCCAGCAAGGTTTAGGAGAATATAATGAGTGGAGCAATAGAGAAAAAGGTGTTATGTCACTGAACAAATGGGTAAATGTAACCTTTTTATGCCTGTAATCCAACAGCCAAATAAAGGAAGAGAACAGGCGATGTAAGTGCATTTCTACAAAGACAGCAATAAACTATTTTAACTTTTAAGATTATTCAGTGCTGTATGGTACCATGTTTGCTTGGCTGCAGTGCCTTAGGGGGTATTTCCCAGCCCACCTGGTCTGGCCATGCTGAGCTCTACCCTGCAGTGTGCCAGGGTGGGCTGTGACAGCAGCCCCTGCTGCCACCAGCGTGTCCCACACTGCCCTTGCCCTGCGTGTCCCGAGGCACCTCAGGCCTTCTGAGCTCACAGAACCCCGTGGGCTGGTGCCAGCTGCTTCCTCACACTGCGTGGAGCAGAGGGTGGGAGGTGCTGCCATCCCCGTGCAGCTCCAGAGGCAGTAGGGGCAGATGGGATCTCATCCCAGAGTTTTCGGGCCATCACTTTCCTTCTGTTATTTCCTTAAAATAAGTTGGGGGTTATTTCTCTAAAATTGAATTTCTCTGAAAGAGAGTAGTCTGCCAGAGCCCTGTCCTGGTGAAGGGGGTTTGCTGAGGGTGGCTCAAATCCAGCAGAACCCGGCAGGTGCCAGCAGCAGAGAGACTTTCACCCTTGAGCCTCATTCGCTGCTCTGGTGCTGCATTTGACTTCCCCCAACCAACTTGCTTTAAAAGTTTGGTGTTCAGGTTTTGACAATTGCAAACTTCAAGAATCAATCTGTAAAAGTGAATAAAATGACTGTTTGCTCATGCCAGTTATCTGGTTCATCTCCATAAAGGTCACAGCAGGCCTGGTGCCAGGAAGGGCAGTGTTTCTGGCACCAGCACCTGCTGCTGGTTCAGGTGGTGATGCCTAAAGCCATCCTGGGGGAAGAGGATGCTATAGGATGAAAGCAGAGGCAGTTCAGCACTGTGGCTGTCTTGGGGAGCTTAAATGCCCACGGTGGGCACGTCTAATGTCACCAGTAGCCCTGGGAATAAAGAGCCCCTCGGAATAAAGAGCCCATCTCAATGAATGGAAACAACTCGCTCCTGCCTTGCTTGTGTTGCGTGAGAATGCAGATCCTGGTGGGGCTCTGCTCATCCTGCCCGGGGTTTTGCTTACAACCATGTGGGTGACATTTATTTCCTTTTTAAGTAATTACTTTCTGGAACTGCTGTGGGGCTGCCAAAGCAGTAAGAGCCGAGCGCCGCATCCAGCCCGGCGCTGGCGGAGCCCGGCCTGGCCCAGGCCCTGCCTTTGAAGTGCTATCGGGGCTGGAGATTATTCAGCAATTCTTCTTTCTCCCTGTCAGGAGTCCTCCTGAGGAGAAGGGAGGGGAGGATTTTTGGATGGGGTGCTGGGAGCTGCTGGGGAGCTCTTGGCCCCAGCGCAGCAGCCCTGGGGTGCCCGTCCCCAGCAGCGGTGCCTGGCACTGCTGAGCCGGGCTTTGTCTTTGCTGGGGACACACATCTCCCCTCTCAATGGGGACAGCGAGGCTGCTGAACGTGGATTTGTTGTTGAAAAAACCCATGTGTGCAGTGCACTCTGAAGTGAAAAGGGTGATGGTTTTCCATTTAGCTGTCTGATTTCCTGAAAGGTTCCAAACTGCCAGGAAGCGAGGGCGCAGGCGGCGCTCCCAGCGCCATTCCTGGATCCCTCTCAGTTTTGCTCCGGGCTCATTTCGAGAAACAGCCACATCAAAACAGCAGCCCGACCTGCCTCCTTCCTGCTTGCAAAAACCCGGCTGTGAAATTGCGGAATCACGGGCTCTGCCATCCTCCTTCCCGGTGGGAGAGGGGCTGTGCTGCCAGGTGATGCTGGCAGCCTCCAGGAAGGAGCCCGGGCACTTCCCTGTCCTGTGCTAGGCTGGGAAAGTGGGAAGAGCTCAAAGCGTTGCTGTGTTAGAAGGACAAGAGCTGAACTGCAGAGTATGAGCAGTGGGGTGTGGGTGAGAGGCAGAGGCTGCCTGGCTCCCCACTGATCATGGTGGTACAAGTGCTTAAATAATTTTAAAATTGCTTAATAGTATAATATTTTTTTTTTTTAGTGCCTTACTTGATGGAGCATCCTCTTCCACCTCCTTATGTGGTCCCAGCATAAAGAAAGCTCATTCTGGGCAGCTCAGCTCTGCTGCAGCCAGCCAGAAGCCAAGGGAGGGGGGTCGCAATGCTGGTTTAAAAGCTTCAGTGAGCCACAGGGACCAGGAGGAGCAGCCAGGGCTGGGTGGTTTTGGCAGCACAGCCCTGGCAGCACCATCTGCTTGGCAGGTTCCAGGGGTGGGACCAGCTTTGGGGGCCCAGACCTTGTCCTGGGCACATCCCTGTGGCCATGCTGGCAGCTGACCCAGCCCAGGCCACCTCTCAGCAGCTGTGCCCACATGCCCAGTCATTTGCATGACAAATTCAAATCTTTTTTATAGGAAACCATCACACTGGGGCTGTCAGGGGGAGGTTTGGCTTGTGTGGGCTGGAGCTTGTGCAGCCCCTCTGCTGACATGGGGAAGTGCCACCATAAATACCAGTGCTGGGATGCTGGTCATCATCTGGATGAACCCAGCCACAGTCTGGCATCATGTCCTGGCATCACCTCCCTTTCCACCTGGCAGCAGCAAGTGAGAGACACCCTGTACCCTGGGGTGGCTGCTGCCAGACCTTCCCCATTTGCCTGCCATGAAAGGGGATGTCTTGGGTGGGATTTCTGCCCTTTCCAGGCACTCCCTCTCCCTGGGGTGTCCCCTGTCACAGAGGCACAGCCAAGGGCTCTGCTGCCAGCTGCCTGAATTTGCTTTTGACGAGGAGCAGGGGGTACCCAGCCCACTCCTCTGCTGTGCTCCCCCCAGACTGTCCCACCTTGTCTGGGGGACACTTGGGCACCCCCACAGGCTCCTGTCAAGGTCCAGGGCTTTGTAGTGGCACCCTCAGCCAGTGGCTATGCCCAGGATGGGATGGGGGCACTGGGACAGTGGGGGCACTGCCAGCCCCCACAGCCCTGCTCCCCTGGCTAACAAGCCCCAAAACTTTGCACTGAGAGGGAAAGGCTGAGCACACAATTTATTTGCATAGCAACTGGACTGCTGTTAGCACTTATCCTTTAAAACAGAGTTGACAGCAAAATGTTTTTACCCCCTCAAATACAGGGAATGCTAACAGCATCCTTTTTTTTTTCCCCCTCTCTCTCTTCTGGCTGAAACTTGTTTTTCCCTCCTTTGTGCCTCTCCGAATCCTGCCAGCATAGAGATTCCCTTGTTCAGAGAGCAAAAAAAGAAGAGAGGAAAAAAAAAAAAACACAACTAGAAAAAGAAAAATTTAAGCCTGGGATTAAAAACCATCACTAAAATAGTTTGAATAACAAAGTCAACTGACTGGCCGGGAAGCCGGTGAATGCCTGTCACGTATCGGCCGGCCACGGTCACGTGTGGCACTAGATAGTTCCTGGAAAAGCTTCTGCTCAGCCTGATAGACCTGTGCCTGCTGATACTGCTGCACCCACTCCTGCAGGGCTGTGGGAAACTTCCCAGCAGGGAGATAAACTGGGGGGGAATAAATAAATCTCCCTTGGGTACCAGAGGCAATGGGTGCTCTTGAGGCTTTTCCACCCTAGTGGTCCTGGCACCACCGGGCCAGCAGGACTTTCTGCCCTTACTGATGTCTTTAGCAAGGGAATTTATGGTGGGTTTGTGGGGTTTTTTTCCCCTACACAAATTTTTTGCATAGTTTAAGCTGCGTAAAAAACTAAAAATGGGGCCTTGCATGAGATAACAGCAGAAGGATTGTACCTCCACCAGGCAGAGCCAGCTCAGCCATGTCAGACACATCGTGTGGGGTCATGCAGCCATGAAGTGTTACTGAGGGGATTTGTACCTGAATCCAAACCTAAATAACAGTTTTATCCTCTTGCTGACTCCAGCAGCACAAACCTGGAAGCAGAGGGATGCAACGAGGCACAGCGACAGCACTGATGGCTCAAATAAAGCCACACAGTATGGGAGGGCAATTAAATACTCAGATTTATTAGCTGTGTGCCCATGCTCAGGAGGGTGATGAAGCAGCTGGAGATGGAAAAGTTGGTAATGGAAAGGTCAGAGATGGAGGCTTGTGAGAGGATGAATCAATGAGCACCCGAAATCCCAGGAGCCAATCTTTAAAAGCATTTGCCCACATAAAAGTGGAGACTGTGGCCTTTTATAAATCAGCCAGGAACATGTCTTGGTTTGAAAATAGCACTGAGCATCTTATTACATGTTTAACACTCAAAAGTTCTTTTAAAATCAGACTCAGCTCATTGGAGTGGCTCCTGTTCATGGATAAAGAGGGGGGTCAGTGTGTGCAGATACTCACGGCCATTCGTGGTCTCCTGTAGCATCCACTGGTGTGTTCGCATGAGCTGCTGACATGTGAGCACCTTAAACAAACCCTGAGCTCTGCAAAATGAAAGTGAAATGAAATAAATGAGTCATGCCATTAGTCTCCTGTGAGCTGGCTTTAAAATTAGCAGGTTTTAGACATAAACATGGTAGAACGAGCCCTGGGGGGAAGAAAAGTCCTCCAAAAACCACATCCTACCTTCTTTTCAACAGTGCACACTGCTCTTTATTTCATGCCACTTTGGTAAGGTAAACTAATTTGGATTCCTGTTTCCAATGAATTTTATATGTAGAAAAACATTTATATTATATACATTATAAATCTGATTAGAAACATGTATGTATGAACAAACACGTGTTTTTTATCAGTAGCTGTGTGCATTCATGTGTGTATGTGAAAGAATACACATAAATGCCTTATTTCAACTGCCATTTTAACTTTTATTTCACAAATCCTAGCTCCTGAAGATGCCAGGTGTGCACAGTTTAGAAGAGAATTTAAAATGAGAAGCATAACAGCAGTGCAACCAAATTTAATGGCTGGTAGCACAAGCTAATCTGGGGCAAAACCATGTCCTGGACTGAGCTCAGGCTTCAGCAGACTGGGAAAAACAGTAAAAATATCCCATGCTGATGTGAGAGCCATGCCTGGAGATGGGGCAGACCCCAGGGGCATCCCCTATCCTTTTGCCCACAGCTGCCATACGTGCTCAGGCACTTCTCCTCTGTCTGTCTGTCTTTCTTCCTTCCCCTATGTCCTCCTCAAT